CTAGAAGAAAGCAACAAAGACTGAAAATTTAGGGTCCGTTTGGTCCACAGAGAGTTATTTTTAGAAAATTAACATTCTCTGTATTTTCCAATATTTTGTAGCTTTCTGAAAAATAAGTCCATGGAAATTAAGTGTAGTGAACGGAAAAGCAATAGGCAACCTTCGGAAAATGACGACCGGATTGAATCTCTGGAAGTTGTTTTCCAACTTCCAAAACACGCGGTTCCTGGGGATCCGACTTGCAAAATAAGCAGGTTTTCGAATTAAAACATTGAAGTTCAAGCAACTCCATTTGCACCAACAAGTAACATCATTTTACCCGGAAACTACCAACAAGTTGATCGATAATTTGCGGAGTGAAAATTCGTCGACCATTTGTCTGGATAACAGGAAGCTATTGCATAAACCTCATTATTTCTTTTTCCATCGTTTTCTTCTCACATTTTCTCTGAATTGTACGAGAATAATTTCGTCTCTTTGTTCATTTCCTTCTCTTTGAGACCTGAATCCAAACCTTTGGAGTACAGATATATATATATATATATATATATTGGTTTTCTTATCTATAAAACGTAAGTGGAATTCAGCCTTTAACCTTCCAAATCAGTTGATGAGATCTGGTTTTCTATATATATATATATATATTGGTTTTCTTATCTATAAAACGTAAGTGGAATTCAGCCTTTAACCTTCCAAATCAGTTGATGAGATCTGGTTTTCCAATCTGTGTTAGAATTTGCTAGAGATGGGCAACTTCTTAGTTAATTTTGAAGTCTGTTGCTTTGTGAATTTTAGGAGAGTTTGTTGCAAGGATAAACATCCCTTTAATACTCAGTTCATGTATTTGGCAGGAATAATCTTTAATAACGTATCTAGGAAAATGAGATTTATGTATAGGAGTTAATTTGGGGGGAAGAACTAGTGTTTATTATTTACCTATAAATACCTATGTAAGTTCTCATTTTCAATCAAGCGAATTCGGAGAAACATTGTCTCGAAACCTCTTCTCTTCCTCTGTAAAATCCTCCTAAGTCCACTTTTATCCAACAGAGTTCACTTTTAAGAGGAAGGATTGCAGCACCACATTTGGTACTAGAATCCAGTGCACAGTTCAGGCTCAGCAGACTTGGGATGGTCCCAAGCCTATTTCAATTGTTGGTTCCACCAGCTCCATTGGAACTCAGGTTACAAGAAAAGAAAAAACTAATCTTTGTGGCTTCATGATCTCGTAAGAATCATAATTTGGCATTTTGCAGACAATCAAGATATTAGCAAAGAATCCAGTAAAGTTCAAAATTGTGGCTTTGGCTGCTGGATCAAATGTAACTCTTCTGGTATTTAATTGATTCTTAAACTTTTTTTTTCATCGGAAAAAGGAAACAACTTTAGTTTGTGTTCATTCATATAAATGCAAAATTCTTGCGGGAGATCACAGACAGCTAAAGAGACAAGGAAGCATTGCTATAATTGTAAAAGAAATAAGGAGGAGGTTTGGGAAGATGAAAAGAAAATAAAACTTTACCATGTGTAGAAAGATAGAATTGTAGAGACGAAAGGTTTTCTGCAACATGAAATGAAAATGAGGAGATAAAATTGAAGTCCCAGTCTGACCAGGTCACCCATGGGCCGGAAAGTTAGCGGATTGATGATGTGGAGGTGAGGCGAGGACGCCCATACCTAATTTCTTCTATTTTGACAGCGTATATTGGAACCCTACTGAATTAGAAAGGGTGGGGTTGGTTTTTTTTTTTTAATGAAAAAAAAGGGTGGGGTTTGTGATTTTGTGGCAATCTGAATTCTTAATTTTATAAGAAGTTAATAAAAACTTTCAATTTAACAACAAAGATACAAAAAGTAAGAAGCCATGTCATGACCAATTACAATGATCTTGTTGGACCTGCTACCATAATAACGATCTATCCCAATAATTTTAGGACTTAAAGTAGATATTTATTATGTAATCTATCTTACAAAATATAAATTTCTATAAATATTGTTTAAGTCTTCGTAACTTAATTTTTTTTTTAAATGTTAACAATGATGATGACCATATCGACAGTTTTTCACCCCATCACAAATGATTTGTCCAATTTCTTAAGGTTATAAAATTTTAAAAGGTAGCATTCAGTTTCTCTCAACGGGTCTGGCAATTGATTTCCTGTAGCTATCGACAACGAGGGTGAGGGACACAATTGCAATTATTGCTGCCTAGCTAATTCCTTTGTAGTCACTCTCTATATTTATGGTTTAGACTTTTCGTTGTGTTAGTCATTTTCCAAAACAAGAGTCTTGAAAATTCTTAGTGGTGACGATTTTTCCAACCAACAATTAAAAGATGAGGCCGATGTGAATCGTTCAGAATGTCCAATTCCCTACAGTCTACGCAACACTTGAAAATGAACATGCAAATGAGCATGGTTAGCTATTACGCAAGCTAATAGTTAAAGTTAGGCCTGGGCTCACTTTATATTATATATGAATTTTTCTAATCTATATATTTAAGATACAAATATAAAAATATAAGTTAAATATGTAATTAATACATTTTTTAACTATTAATTCATATTAAAAAAATTAATAATAATTTTAATATTAATATCATGTGTCTTAATTTCATTGATTATTTGTTAAAATTAAAATTAAAATTTAGTTTTCAATATAATTTAATAATTAAAAAATATATTAATTAGAAAATCTCATTATTTATAGTTATATACCGATTATTATTGATTAAATTTTATTCAAGTCGGTTTCGAATTGGATCTACTTTTCAAAAACTTTAGTTTAAAGCCAGCAAGGCTACTAACAGTAGAAGTAGTAGTAGCCCACACGCCTCTTGCAGTTCCAGATAATTTCTTCCTCATTTTCAAATTTCTCTCATTCTCGACAAAGTTTGAACATTAGACTTTTTTTCGAGTTTAAAAAGCCTCCAGCTCACTTCTTCGTTCATTCTTTTAAAGGACGTTGGGTGTCATGATACACTACCGAATTTATCTGTCCTTCATCTATTCAATTCTTAGGACTTTGTACCCCACCCTATAGCTTTTATTTTATTTAGAAAGTTTAAAAATCATTATGTCAATATTTTTTTATATAAAAAAATCATGACCAACAAAGAAATTATTACTACTAATTGTTTTTTTTGAACAGCAAAAAGTAATTTTTATTAAAAAGCAGAGTACGAGAGGTACTCCAAACCTATAAACATCCCAACTTAAAAGGTATAGATTTATGAGAATCGAACAACCCTTCATAATATATTAATACAAGAGCACCTCCAAGTTGAAAAAAAATTTTCACCTTGCACTATGTCGATGAAAAATAAGAAACAGAAACTTTAATTCTAGATGCTTGTCGTATGATGTCGATACCAAAATTATGTATCAATACCACACCTGTGTCGGGCTTCTATCCTCTTTTGTAAATTCTTCAGTGGTAGAATAGCACATCTAGTCCTTCATATTTTGTACAATGAGCATTTAAATCCCAAAACTCAAGATTTATTCATTTAGGTCCACAAAAAGATATTTTCTTTCTTGCAATTTAGTCCCTTAACTTTTAAAATATATTCATTTAAACCCAAAAACTTCTATTCTTATGCATTCACGTCCTTTTCTTTTCTACCACCCTGGAGGATAGACTTCAAACACCTTCAGGTCTTGAAGCCTTCTTCTTTCTACCATAGTTAAATTTTAGACATCCTGCTGGGTTTTGGATCCAATCTGATAGGGAGAAGAAACATCCTCCCCTTTTGCATTTAATCCAGTTGAACACTCATAGCTAAACTAATTCTAATAGCCTCCCCTTATCAGCCTCCTTCTCGCAGAATATCTTTTCATTCCTGGCTAACTAGATTGTCCAGATTACAGTGAACCACATGCATTCCCAACCCTCCGTCTCCCATGTCATTCTGAATAGATTAGGGTGCTGTTTGAACACCCTCCAACAATCTTTGTCAAGAGCTGTACTTATTCCCCACCACTTAAAGTAGTTAGCCCACAAAGTTGAAGCTAAATTGCAATGGATGAAAAGATGGCTTGTGTCCTCTATCTCTATTTCACAGAGAGCACACCTGCACTCATCAAGATCCTTTAGCACTCCCCTTTTAAGGAGATTAAACTTTGATGAAATTTTATCCTGCAACAGTTGCCATGTGAAAGCTACAATTTTGTTGGGGATGAGAGGGTTCCAGACCTTTTGAAGTGTAGATTCTTGCTGTCCCATTCTATTATCCATTGTGAGTGCCTTATATGCTGATTTTGTTGAATAGCTTCCATCCTTGTTGTGAATCCATTCCCACGAGTCTAGTTTTCCTCTTTTAATTGTGACTTCTTGGATTTGCTTATGCAGCTCTGTTTCCTGTTGTTTTTCCCAATTGTAGAGGCTCCTTCTCCATTGTAGATTCCAGTTCCAGGTGTCATTAGTCCACTTCCCCATTTGAGAGATCTTGTTATCCTTTCTTACAGATATTAGATAAAGTCTCGAGAATTGGTTAGCAAGACTCCCCCTCCCACACCAGTTATCCCACCAAAATTTAACTGCCACTCCTTCTCCTACGTTTAGTTTGAACCCCTCAGCTAACCATCCCCTTTTTTCCTCATCTATTACGTTCAACCTACATAAGTCCCTCCACCATCTAGAGCTAGAATTAATGCCCTCCCTCAACCAATTATAGCTTAGTTCCCCTTCATTTCCATACTTCTCATAAATAACTTTTTTCCATAATCCTCTATCCTCGAACATTAGTCTCTCCCACCACTTGCCTAATAAAGCCATATTGAACTTCTTGAGATCTTTTACACCCAAACCTCCTCTCACCTTATCCTTACACACATTTCCCCAATTAACCCAATTAATTTTCTTACCCCCCTCAATCCTGCCCCACAAGAACCTTCTATGAATTTTATCAAGTGAGGTGATCATACCTTTTGGAATCAAGTACAAGGACATCCAGAAGACAGGAAGGCTAGACAACAGAGAGTTGATGAGGGTGATTCTACCGCCCAACAATAAGTATTGGCCCTTCTATGTTGATAATTTTTTATTAAAAATATCCATCAATGGTTTCAGAAAGTAAGCTTCCTACAACATCCCCCAATGGGAATTCCCAAGTATTTAAAAGGAAATGAGCCCTTTTTGCAGCATAACACCCATGACATTTTTTCTAGCCAATCCTCCTCCGTGCAAACACCAATCAATTGGCTTTTATTAAAATTGATCTTTAAACCCGAAACCAGTTTGAAAGATCTCAAAATACCTTTCATTGCCCAAATATTTTCTTAGGTAGCTTTCCCAAACAAAATTGTGTCATCTGCATATTGTAGATGTGTGACTTTGAAACCTCTAGATCCAACCTCCGTGCCTTCCAACAATCCTTTCTGACTTGCTGCTGAAATCAGCCCATTTAAGCCTTCTGTAATAATTAGGAATAAAAATGGGGACAACGGGTCTCTTTGCCTAAGCCCCCTTGAGACTACAAATTGTCTTGTTAGGCTACCATTGACGAAGGCTGACACTAGGCTTATTCTTAAGCATTCCCTTATCCAGTTCCTCCAAGTATTACAAAATCCCATCCTCTTCATCATGTAGTCAAGGAAGTTCCAACTCACCTTGTCATAAGCCTTCTCAAAATCAATCTTCAACATGAATGACTTTTTCTTCTTCCTTTTTGCTTCATCTACCACCTCATTTGCGATCACAACCCCGTCCATCAATTCACTACTGCAGGAATGTAATATTCAGACCGACCAATCGGTCCGTATATATCCCAAATCGGTCTGAACATATATATCCGGACCGATATTGGTCCTTATAGTTGATCTGAAAAAACCTGGTACGAATAAGTATAATATACAGACCGATGTATAATCGGTCCGTATATATATACTAT